AAATTGGTAAAAGACGAAAATACAATATATATGCATCTCTCATAAAAACCAGCTTAACCTATGGTACAGAGACATGGAGACTAACAGAAAGCAATAAAAGAAAACTCAAAGCAACAGAAATGGATGTATTTAGACGATCACTTCGAATATCTAGGGCAGACATAATTAGAAACGATGAAATAAAGAATCGGATGGGGGTAGATGGATCATTGGCAACAGACATAGAAAGGAAACAACTTATATGGTATGGCCATGTTCAAAGAATGCCAGAAACAAGACTACCAAAAATCGCCATCGAAATGGATACCACCAAATCGTAAGAAACGAGGAAGACCAAAAAGAACATGGAAGGAGGGAACAACAAAGGCAATGAGCTCCCGAGACTTGACCGAAGAACAACAATGGAATGATAGAAATTCGTGGAAATTAGGCATCGGACAACGACGCAAGACGTTTTGAAACCGATATATATATATATATATATATATATATATATATATATATATTATATATATATATATATATATATATATATATATATATATATATATATATATATATATCATTTCTGAAAAATTATAAGTATAAAGTATCTACTACTGTCATTGTAATAAATAGGAAATGACTATTATCGGTGAACGTATTTTAAAAAGTTTTAATGTACATTTATATTTAACTATACCATGATGAGCTCGCTAATAACGGGCAGATTAACGCAAAAGATGGAAAACACATGTTATGAGATAAAAAGAAATGAAACTAGTGGAGGTGGGAGATTGAGCGATAAAAACCTATAAATTTACATTCTACTTATGGTTTACCAGCTTTAAGACATATCGGACAAGTTTAGCAACTACCACTGTGACAGTTTTAGTTGACATACTCCTCTAAAACGTTAATAATTTTTGTCCTGTCAAGAAGTGTGTTTATACCCTGTTTTCAAAGATATATAAGCAAAATGAGAATATCTACAATTAAAATAGAAATTAAGGTTTCAACTAACACCTAATAACTACTTACTATCTACTCAGAGTCACTGTTATCACCAGTATCATCGTATCATCTAAATTTATAGTTAATTTGATTAATGCTGGTAAATATTTAACATAGTTATTTTCCACTCCCATCACATGTTTTATTAAATTTTTCCAGTTGGTTGCTGTGATTTTTGTGACTTCTCTTCTAATTAACTGGAGAACCGTAGACGAAAATTTTGGAGCAACGTTTCTTCTCCTTATATTTCCTTTAATTTAAGCCCCTATTAACTCTATTGGGTTCAATGTACAATAATAAGGAGAAAGCCTAAGCACAGTATGCCCGTTACTACGAGCACAGTTTTTAACAACATATTCCTTTTCGTACTGTTTACTATGTGCAGCCTCCAACAATTGCTTTTTAATATAAGATGCATCTAAATACAAATCTTCCGTGAATAAAAATTCCTGAATTTGTAATTTATTCCAACTATTATTTGGAGTTTTTTTCATTGATCTTGAATGATATGATGCGTTGTCCATGACGATCACACTATCTTTAGGTAATTTCGGAAGACGAGATTTTTCAAACCATGATTCAAAAATTGAACTTTCCATATCGTCATGATAATCCAGAGACGCGTTTTTAATTTGTTTTGCAGATATTAATAATGCATCGCCGACCCATCCATTTTCTCCACCGCGTTGTAAAATTATAATCCTCTTTCCTTTATTGGGCGGTTCTGAGTTGAAACACTTTTTTCACGGTGACATGAGTATCATACCAGATCTCATCGAAATAAACAATATTTCGTTTCATTTTTTCGATACTCAGTTATCTGTCTGATATAATTATTTCTTAAAGAAATTATTCTAGTACTTTCCATCAATGTATGTCTCTTGTCTATAGTTTTGTACTTAAAATGATTGGCTTTAAGAAATAATCGAAGTGTTTTGCTGAACACGAGAGAATGCCCTTTCGAACTAATTCACTTCGAAAGCTTTCAATAGTTGGAAAAATATTAGCCAATTGATTAGAGGGTTCCATTGTCTCTTCAGCTACAGAATTATTATCGCACCACGGACGCAATATTTTAAAATTATCAAACGTATAAAAACATAATCACGTAAAAACGTATCAAAAAAAAAATAAAAAACGTAAAATATAAAAAGTTTTCCGTAGAAAGAACACTGAAAAAAGGCACTACCAAATTAACTTGCGGTTCACTATTTGAAATTTGAATTTAACTGAACGCTGTAGCAGTTATGATTATAGTAAAAATATTCTTGTCTCTCAAAAATCTGTTGGTCATATCCGTAATTTAAAAATAAAATATTATAAAAATTTGCCTATCTAAGTGTTCCCCGTCCCGTGCCTTCGACACTGGACGGTCGAAACCTGATACCTTATTTTATGACTCCGTAAGCTCAGTCAAATATTGATATAATCTTACCCCAAACGTAATTGGTTGACTGTTCATATTTTAAAGGTTATACCAGGCACGTCTGAAAGTTAATATCGAGTGAAATCTTAAAACTTTGTATTATTATACGTCTGAGTCATGGATAATTTTACAGACTCCCGGTAGAGTTCTTTTTTATTGAATGATTTTACTACAGATACATATATTTTTGCACAGTCTCACGGAAGAGGCTACTATACATGTCCATTACATAATTTTCGTGTATTTTAGTTTTATTTTGTCTGTATTTTTGTGTTTTTACTGTCGGTTTCTTACGTATCCCATCCACTTCATTTCTTGAAACAGCTCTTCAAATAATTTGTAACATATTTAAAAAAACATGTAATGAAATAATGTTTTATCGGTGAGAAGTATGTTAAGGATTTAAAAAAATGCACTGTTTCATAAAAAATATACTTTATTGAACCAGATAAGCATACCAGATGTTCCCAAACAAATGGACAAAATTTAGTCAAGATAATGGCGTTTATTTTGAGGTGCTAGTGCAAAAGTTTCATAACGCAAAAAGTTATGAAAACAATTTAAAAACTTATGTTAATAAATAATACGTCAATGGTTGCATAGCCATTTATATACGCCATTATTCTTGTCTTATAAAACTAAAATTTCAGTTCTAATTTTAAAAATAAAAACGCATTGTGCATCGGTAGTTTTAACTAGAATATAACTTATTAATAAAAATAATATATTGAACAAACATTTTTTTTGAAAAACAGATAACACAAACGGAAAAACTACGTACTTTGAACGAATATAATAATTCTTGTTTTGAAAAACAAGCAAAATACACTAAAAGTACTAACTTTTGAAGATATTAATAAAACAAAAATACTGATAACATTATATATTTTGTCACCTGCACATACATATTCCAAGAAAACAGGAAAGAATATGGGCATAACTTTGACAAATACTTTTGAAAAATTAAGGTTTTGATGAAAAACCATTATAGTCACTGACAACAAATATTAGGTAGAGGCAGATAGAGTATTTTTAAAATCCCCACTCCTCGTCACTACCTATTACAACAGTAATTTCGGTAATTGATATGTGAAATTTTGGTTAGATTAATTTTTGAACCCATTATATACTTATGGGTATTTAACAAATAGCATATGTTTTTTGACTTTTCTAATAGACGCAACATGACGAAAAACAAACATATTATGACCGAACCTTTTAATCAAAACGTGATACTCTCAAAAGAAATTTACTATCCATACAGAAATGTGGAAAAATTGCATTGCCCACGCATTTGGTAAACTTCGGTATTAAGGTACTATTACGTCTAGCTAGAGTGCAAAAAAATGATACATTTTTAGCAATTTTTTTGTATATTATCTATAATTATGTCAATCAAACATTTTTCTTTATATTATTATACAACTTTTGAGGATTACAATTTCTTTTTTCCATTGTTCCTGTGTTTTAAATATGGCATCAAAAATGTTTCGCATAAAAATTACTGCTCCATGGCCGAAAGTTAATCTCTGGAAAAGCTAATCTGAAATATAAAATCAAGGAGGGTTTTAAAAAAGAAGTAGCCTTACGTAATAGTGTACCAGAAAAATTGTAAATTCTTAAAAAATACACAAAATGGCGGACATTTGAAAAAACTGTTCAAAAATTGACCTTTTTTTACTTTTCAGTAACAAAAATTTTATTATTATTCTTTGGTCAAATTCTAGTAAACTATCGTAGAGAAAACCAAAACAAACAAAGTGCATCAAGGTTTATTATCCGGACAAAACTGTATACCAGTTTTAAAAACGTAGTTTTTCTCAAAATCTTTTAATCTCTGGATCTAATCGGAGAGTCTAGATTTTAATAAACCTTGACGCACTTTGTTTGCTTCCTTTTTTTGTGTTAGTTAACGACAATTTGACAAAAAATATATATAAAAAAATTTTGTGACTGAAAAAGTAGAAAATTTTTTTTTGTCCACCATTTTGTTTTTTTTTAAGAATTTTCAATTTTCCTGGTCAACTGTCACGTAAGTGTACTTCTTTTTTAGAACCCTTCTCAAATTTTATGTTTTAGATTTGTCGTTCCACAGATTAACTGTCCGCCATGTAGCAGTAATTTTTGGACGAAAAATGTTTGGTGACATCTTTAAAATACACGAATACAGAAAAAAAAACAGAAGAAAAAGTTTTGTAATCTTCAAAAATTGCATAATAATATAAAAAAAGTCTAATTGCCATATATAATATATAAGATAAAAAAAATGTTGAAATGTGTCTTTTTTGCATTCTAGACGATAATAGTGGCGTAAGTAATTATTTATTTTCAGGTTTTATTAAGATAAGTTAATTTGCTTGGTTAACCATCGGGATATTTTTACAACTCAAAATGCTTTAACCTTTTTAGACCCGGTGTCCATTGCTATGGACATACATTTACATAAGCCCTACATCAAATTAAACTCCTGTAAATTGCTGACAAACTACATATTTTTTATTTTGCTCATCTCGGTTATTATTAGTCATAAAAATTTTCATGTATAGTTTGAATCATACAAAGTTAACAAAAGAAACAAATCGTGTGTGGATGAGCAGATTGTACCATTCACGGGAAGACTAAATATTAAACAATATGTAAAAAATAAGCCATTTGCATGGGGCATTAAAATTTTTGTGCTGTGTGGAGAGAAAGGAATTGCTTATGACTTTATAATCTACCACGGTTCAATAAGGAAACTCCAAAAGAGTTAATCGACGAGTTCATCAGTTGTTCTGCACCTGGCCAAAAATATTCATAAAAAAAAATTTTACTTCGACATTTTTTTTTAGTTACAAACTTTTTGAAGAACTCGTATAAGAAAAACATATATTCTGTTGGAACTATAAGAATTGACAGATTCCAGAAACCTCCATTCAAAACAGATAAACAATTACAAAAAAAGAACGTGGATATAGCGAAGAAGTGGTAAGTGATGAAGGAACTGTGGTTTTATGCAAGTGGCAAGATAATAAGTATTTGCTTGTAGGTTCGAATTTTGTTGGAAAAGGAAAAGAAGACTTAGTACAAAGATAGGATAAGAAGCAAAAGAAAAAAATAACGATTCTGAGACCGCAAGCGATTCAATTATATAATAAATCGATGGGAGGTGTAGATTTACTAGATCAACTATTATCATACCATGCCTTTGATTTTGCTTATGCCAATAGTTGCTTAGAATATAAAAGGGGCAGCTTAGTTTACCTTAAAAGGCGCTAATTAAAGTGGGAAAATCAATCAAAAGAAGCATTGGTCGTCCCAAAATGTCAAATGAGAATTCTCCCCACACTCCAAAAGACCCAGAGTGCAAATTAGACCATAAGGATGGATAAAATAGACCATTTACCCAAGTATGGCAACAAAAAGGAAGCATCCAGATGCAAAAATGTTGGGTGTAAACGAAAAACGCATGTTTTTTGTGAAAAATGTAATGTACATTTATGTTTTGTAAAGAACAAAAATTGTTTCAAATATTTTCATTTACGTTAACTCAACATTTGCTTGATAAAAATATACTATATTTAATAAAAATATCGTATATTGTTTAATGTTTATTTGTCTAAATTCGTATTATAGTCCCAATGTCTGTTGCAGTGGACATTCTGTCAAACGACTATAGAAAATTATTATTTTTTTTTCGAAAAAAGTCGGGTCTGAAAGGGTTAATAGGACGAATATTTCTTTTGAGATTGTATCTTACAGTAACTTATCTAAGGGTGCTAGTATGACTGTAGAGATTTAAACGATGCACAACAGCGTCTAAGTAATACATAAATGCACTTAAGCTAATTTAAGATCCGAAGTAATATATTAAAATACTATAAATTAAACGTAAAAAAAATTGCACTAGTTCGTGGTAATGGCGTTCTTTTTCCGCCTTTTATTAAGGAGGGGATTATTGGAGTTTTCCAAAGTTTTGATTTGAACTTGATCATAGTCTACACGCATTGTTGCCAGTGAACGGGTCATCTCCTCTTGTACTTCGGGCCAAAGTTCCACAGTTTCTTTTAGAACTCGATTAGTGTGAAGGGGCGTTTGTGGGACGGCGGCGTATTGCTAAAAATTCAATTTTTTATTAGATCAAAAGAAAACTAGGAGTTCAATCACAAATTGGTTCATTAATTTGTAATTTCACAATAATCTTAATTTCCTGAATTTGTATAGTTTCACTGTGTATAATTGTGAAACATATCGACTAGTTGCTTAATTACAGTTTGTTTAAATTCCTGCAAACTATTGCCTAATATTTTATTAAGGAAATGCCTGCAATCGATTCCTCGGTTCAAAATACATTTCCTAGCTTTCTAAAGTCAAAGGTTTTGTTCTATGGTCCTTCGAGCTGGATCAATTGATAAATACGAATTGTTTCTAAATAATTCCTTATCAGATTCTTCTCAATTGATGATGATAAAATAAAATGTTAAAGTCGTGGAGTAAAATATAGTTTTATTGAAAGCTACTGAATGCTTACACTCTGGTTGTTAAGGTAAAAATTTATAATAGACTGCATTCACTATAATAGCAACTATTGTTAATGCAGCCCATTAAGTTTTGCTATTTTTCTGCTCCTTGGAAAATTTCAAACACGATAATGCTCCAAATAAATATACTAGGCAAGATACACGAGCGTTCTCAAAAAGAGGCTCGTAGTCTTCCTAGAAGACATCGATATCATCCCTAACTTTCAATTCGGTTTCAGGCCGGGCCACTCAACACAAAATGTATTAACAGAAATAGTCACTCACATAACACAAAGTATTAATGTCCGAAATAATCTCGTAATAGGCACGTTCCTAGATATCCAAAAAGCTTCATCAAAGATCCATTGTGACACTCAGGCTTGATTAAAACACTACAATCAATTAGATTGCCACATCCACATTTATAATATTAATGCACTCATCTCACAAACAGAACGGTAAGGGTAAAAGTTACAGAGGGTTAAGTTAAGGTAAGTTAAGTACCCCAGGGGTTCGTATTTAATCCCATATTGTACAATATTTACACATATGATGTATCGCAAGATTACAGAACATATCAAAAAATCCTTCTGTAGTATGCTGACGATACGGTTCTCCTCTTCACTGGCAGGAATGAATTGGTATTCAATAGGACACAAGATCAATATGCACGTGGCGTATTACTCTAAACGGTGAATCATCGTGTTTAGACATCCTACTTTCAGACCCATCGAATTTCCGACATTTTACCTTCATAAAACGAGACTCGAACTGAAGCCGCCTGTTTCCTATTTGAGAGTTATATTAACTAAAACTCTCAGCTGGGACAAGGAAGTCTGTAGTATCCTAAAACAGGTACGAAGTGGAGCCACTCTCCTGGGTGGAATTAACGGAAAATTCGGTGCCACTAATAAAAAGACGCTAATGCACACTTATAAAACATTCATCAGACCAATCATTGAATACCGTGATCCTTTGTTTATGATACTTAAGCGTAGACAAAGGAACAAAATCCTTACGTGTGAGAGAAAGATCTTTCGAAAGATATGCAAAAAAATATACAATTATCTCTCAGAGTTAATACACACCACCGCAGACATCCCAAAAATAACCTCCCGCAGCCAATCCTTAGGCAAGAGATAAGTCTTGAGGACTATCAGGATCTAGGGTCGACTTGAGACTGAGGAGTGGGACTTGAGGACCTAGGGTCGCAACACTAGGGCCCAGAGAGTTCTCAAGACGCCCTGCCACCCCAGAGGACATATAGCAGTCAGAAAACCCAAAAATAAAGTACCCTTCCCCCCTTCCATCTTACTAAATTCAGTAGGAGCGGATCTCCCGGATGACTACTATGATATCCTCGACATTACTCCTTACGAGTACAGCGTAATATAATAAAAGGACGGATAGATTGGTTTCTGTGGTTCCCAATCTCATTGCACAATAATAACTGATACTAGGTGAGGTTGTAGCCACAGCTATCCTCCAGGCCGCTCCCCACCCAAGCGCCAATCATAGGTAACCAACGTAACTCCTCCCCCGCCAGCTGACCATAGGTGTTAAATTCTCGACAGCCAACCCCGTTAAATCTATTGTTTGGGTCATTAGGATAAGCCGACCGACAGCGAATTACAGTGGAATAAACTGGTTCGAACGTCGGCGTGGAGCGCAATTGACTCAATAAACAACGTCAAATAAGCGGAAAGGCTATTTACAAGAGCCAACGAACGAACATCAATCCTCGGCGATAACAAATAGACTCGAAAATCGACACTTGCCTAGCTAATAGACTAAAAAATCGACTATTTCAGAGCAATACACTGGTTTTAAAAACGGCTGAAAGCGCGCACAGGAACAAAAAGCGACAGACAAGTAGGTCTATTATAGTTATCAAAAAAAAAAAGAAAAAATACGCCTAACTAACGATTGTCCATATGCAAACCCGATTCTCAGCCTAGAAACTAATTCCCGTCCTGACATTAACGGTAAAATAAAAGCCCAAACAAACAAATACCCTATACCCCGAAGAAGCAGGAGCCTAAAACGGGGAATCTCTCTCCCACGGAGAGAGTACAGACGGAATGCAATAGACTACGTCCTAAACTAGTCCGGAGGCTACATTTAAAATCTCACTAAAATGCTACGATTTATCAAATAAGTATATTGGCCTCTGCATAGAACAAAACCTTAGACTTATTAAAGCTTATAGCTTATTAAAGCTAGGAAATATTGAGCCGAGGAAATTACTGCAGGCATTTCCTCAATAAAGTATTAGACAATAGTTTGCAGGAAGTTGAACAAACTGTAATTAAGCAACTAATCGATATGTTTCACAATTATAACCGGTAAAACTATACAAACTAAAGAAATTAATATTAATATGAGATTACAAATTAATTGACTAATTTGTGATTGAACATATTTTCCACTCTATAAGAACCACACAACTATTAGAAACTATTTAGATATATGAAATAATAAAATAATATTAATAGTTTAAAATAAACACTATAACATCATAATGCTAATTTACTCGGTATTTGAATTATTATCACACTCGAGTAGTGCTACCTATAACTTGAATATTTAGAACTTATGATTCAGTTATACTATCTAATTCAAATCTAAGCTCATTAAGTGAAACCGATCTAGGTGGGTCTGACCCGAAAGTTCTACGTACATTTGGTTGTGATATCGTAAGTCTCCGAGGCGCTGGATGAGGTTGGATGTAGGAACCTTGATGCCTTTGTTTTTTGGCTCTCTTGACATTCCGAATATATCTGACTACCTTCCACATAATGACAATCAACATAACAACGAATATAGTCACTAGTCTTGTGGTTAAATGATGGTTGGCAATGGTTTTGTATCTGTACTTTTCTGCTGTGATATTTCTCGTAGACCATACACAGAGAAAATACTTATTTCATTTATTGCTATTTTATTATTGCATTGTTTTGTTTTAAATATATTCGTTACGATATCTCTCCTAGAAGACCATACGCTCGATATATTTACATATTCTTTGTGTACTTGTTGTCTCCTACCGTAAGTTAAGGAATCTCTCAAATATTTGTCCTTTTACTGTTACATTTCATGTTCGGTTGTGTACACAAATATTTCTATCCGTTTTATTATTATTGCTGTACAGGAAACGCTCAAGTGGAACTTCTACTACGTAGATTAAGCACGAGAGGCGGTTGCACTTATTATTTCATACATATTTTTCAACTTACTTCTTTTATACATAAACATATATCACTAAGCATTCGTCGACGGCTTTCTGTGTAATTTCACGGAGTGAAATACGCAAAATATAGCGCATGCCGGTATGACTAACCAGAGGTTCGGTGTGCTCATTTTCAACCAACTGGCTTCCTTTATCATGTACTCTAATATATTGCAGGTGGTGTTGGGAGTTCTATCATATAATTCAAGATACAGTTCGGCTGGGTATCCATATTAATGATTGCCATAGGTGAACATGCCCACTCTTCTTTGTTAAGATACAATTCAACTGGGGAACCATTTTAATGATTGCCATAGGTGAACATGCCAACTTTTTTTGCTTTATTCTATACACCTTTCTTTATCTTCATATGTCACTTCAAAATAGTGTAAATTATTATAATCTACTGCAAGTAGATTCCTTGGTACCAACAAAGAGCGCACAATTATAATCCAATCGTTTGGTAGTTTTACCTGTAGGTTTGAAAAATGACAATTTGATAGATTTCGGTATGGTCTTTTCGAATTTCAACTTTGACACCTCGTATCTCCGCCGCTCACGTCGCCATATTGAAAAAATTGCGCCTAATAACAGTTTCTTCACAATATCTCATTTCCGACACATTTCACAAAAAAGAAAACATTTATCTACAAAATTAAATTACTATAAATTTCAATAAGCGATGCAGGGCGTGTAAACAACGAAATAATTGTAATTTAATTGTTAAAGATGTTCACAATTTATCTACTCGTTCCGATAGTAACAGTATATTATTAAGATCACTTTACAAATTTTTCTCTTTTCTCGATTATTAGTTTTTATTGCATAATATATATATATATATATATATATATATATATATATATATTCGGTTTTATAACGTCTTACGACGTTGTCCGACTCCCAAACGCCACTGTATTCTGTCTTGAGTTAGGTCTTCGTCCAGATTTCGAGCGCTAATCCCTTTCCTAACTCCCAGGTTCCAGCTCTGTGGTGGTCTTCCTCGTTTCCTCTTCTCTGGGGGTTGCCACAACATCGTTTTTTTAGGCAATCTTTCGTCCCCCATTCGGCTCACATGTCCATACCATATCAGCTGTTTTCTCTCAATATCCTCAACTATAGTGCCCTCTATACCCATTTGTTGTTTTATCACTTCATTCCGTATTCTGTCGGCTCTTGATATTCTCATCGATCTTCTGATGGTATCCATTTCCGTGCCTTCGAACTTTTTCTTATATTTCTCGGTTATTCTCGATGTCTCAGCTTCATAAAGTAAGCTAGTTTTAACCATTGTCTCATAGATGTTCCATTTTGTTTTCTTTGATATTTCTTTACTCCATAGAACTCCGTTCAAACATGCTATAGCT